ATCTTCTTAGTCACATTTGCATTCCACCTCAAAGATCAGGCCCTATGTGGTGAAGAAAATATTCTTTAAACAAACCCAGCCTGTGCAGAGTTTAATTATTTTCCTAATGCTGTTATCTAATCCCTTCTTTCTTCTTCTTAGACTCACAGGTGCCACCAGAGGGGGTTTCAGTCAATGTCAGTAATGGTTGCCTGTCACCTGACAAAAAGCAGCAGATAGCCTTCAAGACTGTGCCCCGTCCACTTTCACCTGACAGCCCAGAGATCATCAATGAGTTGCAGCACTACACAGGTGGCACAGGAGCTGGCTCCACCGCAGGCCCAGGTGCTCAGCCAGAGAGGGCAGCAGAGACCAACATCAACAGCCTGCCCCCCACCAAACTGGTTCAAACCAATAGCAGCAGTGGGAGCAGTTTTCCCAGTGCAAATATGAGCCACCACGATGCCTCTGTGACTCATAGAATCCAGCTCAACACGGATGCCACTGTTGCCCAAGACCTGAGAACAGGCTCCAAACGCAAAGCCTCCACCCCGTCTTTGGATGAGCGGCCCAGCAAACAGTCCAATGCGGGAAAACACTCCTCAGCCCTAGTGGCCTCACAAGGCTTCCCCTTCAGCGGGGGCTATGGCCTCCCTCCTTTGGGCCTCAACCCTGCTATGTTGGGTGGGTTACTGGGACACCCACTCCTCATAGGGACAGGTTCGCCTTACTTCCAGCCCCCCCATACTCAAATGGCTGACCCCAGTTACATGTACCCAGATCTGTTTGGCTTTGGTGCAGGCAACTCAGTCCCCACATCCTCTTGCTCCACCTCACTGACAACAACCATCGCTACTGCTGTGTCATCTGCTTCCTCATCATCATTTTCTACATCAGTCAAAGCTTCCAGTTCAGTTCCAGGAGCTATGCCACCATTTATGCTGAGCCCCAGCATGGCAGGCATGGCCGGGATGCTCACGCCAGGCTTCTCCCTCTCATACAGCCAGTCTCTGGCAAGCCTCTACACAGGGTCAATGCTCCCTGTTGGGCTGCCGGGTCCAGCTGCCACTCCTGGTCCAGCCGGAGCCAGCTTCCTGTCCCAGTTCCCTCCTGCTGCTGTCATCATCTCCTCCTCTTCTTCTCCTTCCTCCTTCTCCCCCTCAGCACGATCTGAGGGCCACCGAGCCCCAGCAGTGGTGAATGGCGGGAATGTTAGTAGTGCCAGCAACTCAGATGACGACGATGATGTAATTGAGGTGAGGGCACAGTGATAGATGATTGATATAGTTACTTGAGAAAACTTGATTCAGTTTAATAATCATCAAAATAGGATAACATCCTATTTGTCAGGATAAAGGCCTTAGAGGGCCTGTGGCCAAGGCCATGGGGGAAATGGACAGAAAATGATTACAGTAAAGACAGCTGAGCCCCTGTTTAAGTTTCTTATGTTCGTCTCTACTGCTTTGGAGCAACAGTATAAACAGGGACAGAACACAGACTGGACACAAAACTATAAATCTTTATGCTGAGTATCTAAAGATGAAGCCTGACAAAGAAAAAAGCTCCAGAGGGGAGAAGAAAATGAAAGTAGGACTGGGCTGCAGGGTTTTTTTTTTTTAATCTAATACTGGCATTGAAATACTATCACTGGACTTAGTACTGCTGAGAGTGGGCCTGCAGTAACCGCTATTGGCCGCTAGCTGTACTGTCAACCGTAGAGATTCTAGTTCTGCAGCTTTGCTAAACATCAAGACTCTTTTGCATTGTTCAGCTAATTAAAAAGACAACTTTAGGGAGGAGTTCCTTACATCAAAGGATTTAATAGTTGAGTTAGGTGGTAGTAACATCTCTTAGATATCAGTAACTAAGATGGTTTGTCACTTGTCAACTATTGCTAATCAATGTTTCTTGAAATGATCAAAGTAAAAGGTTAAAAGATCCAACCAGGACTTTTCAAAACCATTTTGACTGAATTGAATAATTCACTGCCAGGACAGGGGTACTGTGCATTTTTGTTCTTGAACAAAACCATGAAACAGGCTCATTTTGAGTTATTGAAGCAGAGGCTGAGGCTTGTCGAGGAGAATGTTTACTGAAACCTTAAAACTCTAATGAAAGAATGTATGCTTAATGAAATGCCTTTAAACCAGGCCTTTTTGAAGACTTCTTTTGTTTAGGCATCAGATGTGGGAAGATCTATTTTTTCTTTTTTGTGTGTATTTTATATTTATGTAATCTCTTACTTTTTAAAGAAAACCATTGCCTAAAAACAGCCAGGTGAAAATGAGAAAAAAAAAAAACCTGTGTTCTGATGAGGTGTCCTCCTTGTAGCGGAGAAACAGCCAACAGAAGATGCCTTTTTGCCTCTATCTTTCTGAATGTTAACTGTGAGAGAGGAGAGGTAATGAGAGACACCGCAGCTCTCTGAATCTCACCCACAGTCTTACTGTAGCCTAGCAAAAAATGATGCAAAACGCTCACTCAAGCCGATATACAGTATGTATTCATACAACCCTAGAGGAATTGAGCTCGCAGAGGTTTCGATTTGCTAGTGTCATTACCGTGTTTGTATCTGTGTGTTTAAAAAAAAAAAAAAAACTAGAAATTTGTGTCATTCGTTCTGACACAAATTGGACCTCTGCTTTGCTGCTTTTCTTTGTTTCCCCTCTCTCATCTCATTTTGTGAATGGAGGTCATTGTGAAACCAAACCAGTTTTTTGTTTTTTTGTTTATTTTTAACACCAGTGGTGTAGCTTTGCCAAAAACGTGAGGTACACAAGCACATAAGCAACCTCCATTGAAGAGGATTATGTTTTAAGAGACCAAGTAGTGTCAATGTGAAATCCACAGCAGCAACGCGCTCTCTCAGCATCCTCACAACCACAGTTGAGAAGTACATATCCCTCTCTCCATGTGACCTTGCAGGTAACACTACACTGTAAAACAGACACAAATCTGTATGCATCTGTAGATTGGTTTAATGCTGGAAAAGCTTCATCATGTGACCAAGTTCCCTTTAGAATAACTGTAAACCATTGTTCTGCTGTTCCAGTTAATCCCCTCTGATCACACAGATTGATCCATTACGTTCTGAACTGTCCTTCTATGGAAAATCTTCTCCTCCAAAATGGCTGCAGCAAGAGCTTTAAAAACCAGCAGCTCGTTTGCCAAAAGCAAAACTCTTAACATCATTTAGCAAAGACTAAGCATTTGCTGCCATTTCTCTTCCATGTGTTTGTTCTTAATACTGAAATTGTTAGTTTACTTTCATTTCTGTTCTCCTATTTTTATAATGTTTGAATTTATCAAATTTATTTATTTATGATGGTGCATATTTATTCATTTGTAATTTTTGTACTTTTTTGTTTCCTTTTTTGTTGTTTTCTTTATCTTGTTTGTAAACGTTTAATGGTCATATTACTGTTGCTGTTACTGCAGGTGGCGGTGATCTGCCGGTCTGACCCAGTACATGTGAACTTGTGCAGAACGTGGATGTGAACTAACTGATTAGTGTATTTCTGTGCACTTTAATATCCAGGATAGCATATTTGAGAGGGATTGAGTAAATATGTCCAATTTAGCATAAGTCATTTGGGTTCTTGATAATGAGATTGATTGCTTCATGAGAACATCCTACAGTTGTGGTACATGTCTACGTATATTATCTGAATAATATGAGCTATTTGTTTGCATGTAAATCAAGCTCACTCACAAGTGATGGGTCAGAAACCAAGGCAATCTAACCACTCATGAACTGAAAAATATATCAAGTGCTTTTCCTCCCCTTTTTTGTCAGTCCTTACCATATAATCAGAAATATCTGTGTGTAGCTGGTATGATGGCAAAAGAGTGTTTCCTCAGTGCTAAACTGTTGAGTTGTCAGCTTGGCGTTTGCTGCGCTGACTGACTGCTCTTTTATTTCACAGCTTTCTACTTGAATTTACATATTTATTTAAACAAATTGATTTGGTTGGACAAGCCAAGCCGACTGTCTGAATTCCATTTTAGCTGAGGAGATGATTAAAGCTGCTGTCTTTGAGGACTGGCTCTAGTCAAAGCCTGTGGTGTAGTTTATTGATGGATAATGTGTATGACCTTGGATTACACTTAGATACTCTTTTTTTTGTTTTGTTTTCTTTTTTGTCTTTTTCATTTTGTAAATAAAAAGAAACGTGTTCGAAATAATACTTTTCCTAATTTCTTTGTATTGATATTAGTATCTTATGTACCATCTTCCTTCCTTGTCTCTCCCTCGCACACACAAATACACACACAGGCAAAAGAACAGCTGTAAAGTCCAAAACAACTGTGCACTCCTTCAGCTTTAGTCACGTGACAAGAACATAACTTGCTCTCAGCTGTGTGAAATATAGGCAATCACATACTTGCACACTTTCATCTTCTGTATATTGTAGTTGTCTTGAAGTAACTGAATTTTTGCATGCATATTGTATTGTGTTAATACAGGTGTAATATCAGCTGAGTGAGACTTAAACAGAAAGAGGTTTAGGAGAGAAAATTCACCCAAAAAAGCCCTTAAACTCTTGGAGAAAACCGCAACCACACTGTATATATAGAACTTATCTACTCTTACAATATGATAGAATATAGTAAAGACAAAAGTGGACATTTCAGAAACTACTTTTTTTTATCAGCGGAACACACAATAATTAAGTGCCGAGCTGTATTTAGTTGTTGTTTTACAGTTTTTGCACTCTCATACCTGTCAGTACAATCAGCATTCTTGCTTTTGGCAGTGTCACACTGTTCATGGAGGGTGAAGTCTGGCTTTGGTTTGTACTGGCACACTTTCTGCATCCTAAATAGTCGCCAGCAGAGTTGGATTGTGCGTGAGACCTCGACAGACAAACAGGTGTTTACGCAGTTTGAAGTTATGTTGTCAGATTAAAAGCCTTAAGGCAGAAGCCAAAGATTTGTCTGCCAATGAATCACAAAATTCATCAGCCTTTATTCTGCAGGGTTTTGTTTAGTTTTTGGCTTGTTGGTTGTGTCATATGGATGCTCTGAGCTCCATTTTGAATAAAAGTATCTGTTTCTTATTATTCGTGTTCTGTGTACAATTTGTACCCATTATCATCTTAGAAGTACAAAGTTAGAATCAAACTGTCAAATTTATAAGGCAGACTACTTTAAGTTATTAAATCCTGAACAGAACAGCAAGCTGGTTATGTAGCCTAAATTGATTTTTGGAGTGCATGGCTCTCCAAGTTATGTACAAAGGTGTTGTATGTGAATGCTTAATTTTGAGAAATTGCACAGCATGTACCATGAAGCACAATGAATATCACTGCATACTTCTCTTGGAATTTTTAATTTTTATCTATAGTGATGCCAGTGATCTTTGTCTTTCTGTTTCTGTAAACTTTGAATGAAGATTGCTTCTTAGTCTGTGTCCTTGTTTCATGTTTTCTTGTTACAACTATCTGTATGTGATTTTGTGTCTGTATGTGCGTGTGTGTAAATGTGATGTGAGACCTTATTGTTAAAAATAAAATGAATGTATCTGGGCTATTTTGTCTTATTTGCTGAATTATCAGAGTATAATTTTGTTAAGGAATCCCATAAGGAATAACTTAAGTTTTTTCATGTGCACATTACCCATTTTAAAGTGAACAATAATATTTCTATTTTAAATTTATAAAATAAATATAAAAAACTAAACTATTTTCACTCTACCACAGACCAGAACAAATTTTCTGAGACTTGAAGGATCACTGCCAAGATGGACTTAAGCGGTTCTTTCTGGGGGAACATGGTGGCTCCACACCACTACTTTGGTTTTTTTTTTGCCTTTAATCTGTCACATTACTACTACTACTACTACTACACATGTACACGCATCATGTAAGTCCCCATGATGAATGAAACAAAAGTATATAT